CTTTCTGTCCACTAGTTAACTAGTTAGCCATGTTTGTGTCAACTAGTTAAATAGTGACAGCCTAAATGCCAACTAGTTAACTAGTAAGGCCTAAATTCTCTCTAGTTAACTAGTCAAAATGTTTCATATCTTACTAGTTAACTAGTATTGCTCAGTGTGTTCACTAGTTAACTAGTGCACATTTATGTCTACCACAAGTTAACTAGTGTGCACATTTTGACCCTCACTAGTTAACTAGTGAGACAATACCTTCAAGTAGCTGACTGGTATGCATTTCTGCTTTTACTAGTTAACTAGTGAGCAGTTTTTGTGTCAACTAGTTAACTACTGAAGCATAAATGTGTTCACTAGTTAACTAGTGCACATTTCTGCTGTCACTAGTTAACTAGTGGGCACATTTTCACCCTCGATATTTAACTAGTTGACACAAACATGGCTAACTAGTTAACTAGTGGACAGAAATGGCTTACATGTTCATGACAATTCTGGCTGATTTCCTGATATCAGAATAAATGCTCGTTTGGCTTGCCATACAGGTTTGTGTGACCTGAGATTGACGGTTCAGGATTCAGTATTCAGTGATTAAACACCGAGTCGCAAAAATGGATCCTGTAACAAAAAGAGGACGTTCTGAGATGTGGGAATGTTTCAATTTAATCCCTCCAAATAAGGTTTGAAAATGTATTTGGTCTAGTATAGTAAATTACCTTTATGGTAGTAATACTTGGTGCATATTGTAGGGCTATATCTTTTAGACCATCTGTCATTTTCCTTTAAATTAAAATCTAGTTTGGTATGATTTTTCTTCTTTTATTGGTAATTAATATAATAGTTGATGAGCTTTTCAGTTTGGTTGTACGTGTAATGGAATTTAGTATGTCCTATCCTTATGTGAATTTTCTAATCTTCATTTTGTTACTCTATTTCTAAAAAAGATACATAAATTGAGCTAATTATTCCTGCCTAATAATCCAATAGAAATGTGAAAAGTAAAATATTTGAATATGTAGAGAATGTTAATATGTGTTAATTAGATATATTTCATCACGTATCCCATAAAAATAAACATTGTTTCATTTCAAGTATTCACACCAAGAAAAGCAATTTTAGTATATTTAATGTAATGTTCACATTCAATATACTTTTATTATATGATCCTGAGGAAGCTTTTTAATGCTTTATTTGTCCATAAAGTTCAATACACCAGTCATTTTCAGTAGAATTGGCTGAAAACAATACAATGACATACAAACATTTACCAACAGATGTCCTCACAGAGTTTTGAAGCATCGAACCTTGAACCTTTTTTCAATACAATTGGATTGTAAAGCTTTGTTGGTTCAAAAGGCTTCACATCATCATCACTACACAACACCTCATTTCTTTAGGTTTACCTGTCACGTGTATTGCACAGCTGCTGGGGGTTTCTAGAGTTACATTACACAGGCGAATGAAAGAATGGGGTTTAAGTGTGAGCCAAACTTACAGCACCATGACTCACGATGAGCTAGACTCTAGTGTCACAGATCCATGCCAGAAACCCAAATGCAGGGTATAGATTGATAATAATAATGCATTGAACTTATATAGCGCTTTTCAAGACACCGTGATGAAAGGTCTGCTGAAGTCACAAGGATATAGAGTTCAGTGGGAGCATGTTCGGTCCTCAATGCGCAGAGTAGACACCGCAGGCGTGGTTTCCTGAATGTCCCATCTCCGTTGTGTGGTCAGAAGAAGATATTCTGTGCCTAGCCCAAAATCATTTTATTGCAGGAGCTTTACATTCCACAGATTGAATGGGAATCCAGTGACTCATCAACAATGAACACAACTCTGGTGTTCAAGTTCCAGAAGTTGAATGCCCGCTAAGTCCAGGAGGATATTCTGGACTCTGTGCAGCTGTAGATGTCACAGTGTAGGAGGTGGAGATGATGGACCATGTGTGGTTGAGCTGAGCAGGAGGTAAAAATGCAGGCTTCGGATAAAGTAAAAATGATTTAATGGCAGGATGGGATGAACAGAAACACCAGCAGACAACAACAATGAACTGACAAAGGACAGGGGCAAAACAGGTGGTTTAAATACAGAGGGCTAATTAGGGAAACATGGGCAGGTAAACGAGGGACAGGTGAGAACAATAAGGGTAATCATGGCAGGGGAGGAACACAGGCAGGCGGGCAGGGGCAGATCGTGACAGTAGATCCACTGAGGTCAATCTTGGGATTGACAGTTATTTAGCCACACGGCATTACATGCAAACCATTGGCTATACTAAAATCTTTCATTTTTTGCATCTTGTCATCAATGACTTGTATAAAATGTCTGTGAAGGATCTTGATAAGTCTCCATTATCTAACTGAACACGTTATTTTTATCTCCATGTTATCTCTTACCATATCTGAACTTGAAAGTACAGATTAAATGACTCATGAACATTTGAAAATGTTTGCATATTAATATTCTTCGATGGAAAACTAAAAGAATTAAACCTTCATAAGTTAAAAATATAGTAATCTTATTGTGTGTACTAAAAATCTAACTGCCCTTTCTTATTCTCTTGGATATTGAAATTCCCAAATTTGTGAGAATAATGAAAGTTTTGTTGCTATTTGATGTTTTTAATTTAAAAACTTGCAAGTCTTAACGTGTTAATATAGGTTACAATCATTTGTGAATTCAATAAAATGTTTTAAGTTTAAAACAAAATTTTTATTAATAACATCTTGAACTTAAGCAAGAAGTGACAGGAAAAAGCATTTAGCATTAAGCTACAAAATATTTTTCTATTGTCATGACCCTGGATGTAGCAATGTTTTGTTTGTTGCATATGTATAAAATGCAATCTTAATGCAATCAATGATTTCTCTACTTGAAAAATTACAATAAAAAATGTATCATATAACACAGCTGTGCCTTACTTGTAACTCAATTTTCCTGAAACTTTCAGCTGTAACTTGATGGTTAAATTAAAAAAAAAAGATTTGTTTGGTATAACCTGAACAGCACTGGCAAATAGCATGACGTTAAACTTTAGATCAATCCAAAACCATGAACATTGGTTGCTATGCAACTTTCAAGATGATTGAGAAACTCATCAAATGTTGTGTAGTGGCAGGGCAGACGTAGAATATGGAAGCAGCTAGATGAGGTTGGATGGTCTGCCTGCATTATTTCCACTTTCATACACTTCATGGGTTTCTCCCATCCAACCCAACCCTTCACGAGCTGCTTCCTTTGCTCTTCAGACACTGAAAAAGAAAAGAAAAAATGGCAAAGACAAATGAGATATAAAAGATCTTCTGTGCCATGTTTACACAAGATACTTAGAATGTAGCAAACCCACCTTATCTGCTGTGTCATATAAAACACTTTACTAATTTTAACCCTCCCACTGTATTCATGGGTGACCCCACCAGGAAAGTTGACCACTGAACAGGGTTGATGGTTCATCCCTTGAGGTCCATATGCAGGGGTGAGGTGGTGCTCACTCCTCACCCCTGCATATGGAGCATTGTCCAGCTCAGATGTTCAGATGGGAATCTTTTCTTGAGTGATTTAGCTACATCTGCGATTTGCGTAGAATAAAATGTCAGTTCGTCTGCATGTGTCGGGGTAATTCTTTCTATTCTTTCTCCGTCAAAATAAACGGTCAAATACGGGAACTGTCCGGTCAACCAGGGGCGGCGTTAGGCCCGGCTACTTGGGCTGAAGCCCCGGATGTTTCATGAAAAGCCCCGGATCTAAATCGCAGAAGTAACATGCAGTACCAAAGTCCAACAGAGAGGGAGCAGCTGGCAGTAGTTTGTATACAGCCTGCCTGATCCTCCACCACTGAAGAAGAAGCCCTTCAGCAGCCGGCTTCTTCTACATTCTCTGCCTGAAACGCATGTGTGAAGATGGACATAAGGACGTTTTTTAGACCAAAAGTACGACGACAGAACCCCAGCTTTTGTATTTTTTTATTATTATTATTTTTTTTCGCTCAACCTGATTTATTGCATTAACAATGTGAAATGGTTTTGGAGCCACCTTCCATGGACAGGACAGGTGAGAAATGTTTATTACAATGACCCCCCCCCCACCCCCACACACACACACACGTTAAAAAATCTGGATTAAAACAATGAAACCATCAGACTGAGCGACTGGAACACCGGGGCAGAGGTCTACAATCCTGACAGACCTGAACAGAGCTCGTTTTAGTTTTACTCCATGGAAGTGCCGCTCTGCATCAGCGCTCAGACATGAACAGACCTGTGGAAACATACGGACGCCCACCCAAGTACAGGATGTCTGTCTGGGAACATTACGGGACTTTTATTTTATTTTGTTTACGAGCCGACATAAAAACTGTGCCTGGGCCGTACTCTAAAACAAACCTAAAAGCCACCTCTTCAGTATGGATGGCTCAGAAAGGAAGTTCTGGAAACATCTTCACTCTTTTGAACGGTCGACATCCCTACTCTGTATCCGGCTATAGGAGTTTTATTCTGAAAGGAAACAGCCGCTCTGCGCGTTTGAAGGGATGACCCCAGGTCCTACTGAACCAGTCAGTCAGCGCTGCCTGCCACTAATCGAGTTTGTTCCAATCAAAAAGCCTCCTCACAGGAGACCAAAGGTCAAAACGCCCTCGTTTCCTGTCAAGCTGACGGACGGCGATGGAGATGCAGTCTTTAAAAAGGGACGACCAACAGCATACACTAGGACAGGCATACACGAGTAGATAAATTTATATATTAGCTAAATATGTTATGTACAAATAGTATACATAGTATTGCTAGGGCAGAGCCAGACCTCTTCCTGTGACCTCTAACCTCTGACCCTGTACTTCGCTGGGCCTGAAGGGGTTATATATAAGATAAGGTGACAGGTGCGTATGCCACTAAAAACAAACACAGGCCAGCACGAGGGACAGAACAGAATTAAATGTGAGCCGAGTCGGGGCCGTGAGCCTCAGAGGTCACGTTGAACCTGAGTCCTTCAGTCAGACAGCAGAGCAGGAAGCCACACGACATGTGGGTTAGGGGTAGACTCTTGTCAGCTCTGTACAGGGAAGACTGACAGCCGAGGTCCTGAACAGGAGAGTCACATGGTTCTGCTGTACTGGATGCCAGTCTTGGAGGCGATGTTGGACCAGGGCAGCAGGGAGCGCAGCAGCGACTGGGCCTGGCGGTACAGCCTCTGAGAGATGGAGCAGGGGTTCAGGCTGGCCAGAGTGGAGCCGATGTGCTGGATGTAGTCAAATATAGTCCAGGGAGGATGGCCCCCGTTAATGTAGAGCACATATGTGAACCCGTCTTTGAGGACGCCGCGGATGGAGTAGTAGTAGGGCAGGTAGTGGTGCTGCCTGAAGTCCCTGTTCTCGTAGAAGTGGATGGCAGTGTTGTTGGAGGTGAGGACGTGCAGGTAGATGGCCTTACAGTGGTCCTGGGCGGTGGTGGAGATGTGCTCCTTCAGGCTGTCCAGCAGCAGGGAGCCTATTCCATGTTTCCTGAACTCCTTCACCACACCCAGGCTGAGGATGTAGGCTACCTGTGTGTCCACGGGAAAATTGGAGGCCAGGATGTCTCCATCCTCTTTGTGTACTTTGGTTCGGTTTTTGATCTCGGCCACGATCATTCCTACGATGCTCCCTCTGAAGGTGGCGGCGAGGGAGAAGAACTTCTTGTTGGAAGTGATGTCTTGGTACCATGAGTCTGGGTACTCGATTGGGAACCAATCCCCACAGAGCAGCTTGATACTGCCTATGTCATTGTGGCAGAGGAAACGGAGCTGGATTTCACTGAGAGCTGTGGGAGGCACCACGTCACTCATTCACACCTGCTAATTAGCACCTTGGCTAACGTTAGCTAACGGGCTAACGCCCGGCTGCTAGGCGCTCGCGCTGGAGAAAAGTCGGGCAGAACTTATCAGGTTACCCTGTCAGACCTCCGGATTTAGCATTATACCGCATCGGTTTGTCCCCAAATCTAAAAGCCGTTTCATTAATGTCTAAGACCAACCAGCCCGCTACTATGCCTCTCCGACAGAACCCCAGCTTTGATGAGACTGGTGTTGACTCAGGTTTGTTAGTCTTATTTGAAAATATTTGTTGTGCTGCTGGTTTGCCTAAAGTTAGCTTACTATCAGGTAAAGTTGCTGGAGAAAGAAAGGGAATATTTACTAGCATCTCACACTAAACACTCACAGGAACAATACTCTGCCCTGAAAATGCTTAATATGTAGCTTCAGATAAAAATTATGTGGTACAAGACATATATAATGTTGACTAGTGCGTGTCACGTGTGTGCGCGCGTGTGTGTGCGCGTGTGTGCGTGTGTGTGTTAAGCCCCAGATGTTCTTCAGTCCTAAATCCGCCCCTGCGGTCAACACAACACAAGCCCTGCTTTTAACTGTTCTGTTTTCTTGTGAAAATAGATAAAATTAAACTTGATTAACACCAGAGCCAGGCGCACTGCGCCGTTATCTCCATCACTGTAAATGAGGGAAAAACAAAATGATCGGATCCTTTTCTGACCTTCCCCACCTACAAAGTTTAATTACAACAATCAAACGTGACAGAGCCTGGATTTGTATTCTGAACAGTCTAAACATGTTTTAAAAAGAAACGTATGACAAAAGTGGCACCTGCTCAGTAAAACCACCAACAGGGTGAAAAATATCTAAATATTGTAGGCAGAGACGGGCTACAACTTCTGGATCCACTTTATATAAATCCTTTTATTGATTATCTTTTTATGAAAGATAACTCTGACGTACACGAGCGACCGGTGCCGGCTGCTGTCACCTGTTGTGAGCCACCCACAAACATTTGTGCTGTTTGTGCTGGTTTGTGCTGCTAAAGTTTGTGTTTGTGCTGATTTTGCTTTAAAGATATTAGTGAAAGGTTCAAGGTCAAAAGGTCAAACCCATGCAAAGCTCTGATAGTTGACGCACTCCAGACATCTGTGTCCTGAGCACGGCCACAGTAACATCAAATCAGGTGTCGCCACCTCAAAAACAAATTTAACACACGATCGTTCATGTCGGCTCATTTCCTTTTATGTTTTCTGTCTTTTATTCTTTTATTTGTGCCTGATGTGTTTCGCTGCTGTGGATCGGGGCGCATCACCTGTTTTGTCCTCGGTGACGCACCTAACTGATGTGGCCGGCTCGCATTCCGCTGTTTTTGCGGTCGGTAGATCTTTTAGAACTGCAGTTCAAAGGTAACTCATAAGGTTAATATAGATGAACCCAGGTGGCAGTTTCTCTTTAGGATTGAGAGGAGATCCAGGAAGATAATAAACAGAGACAGGACAGAAAAGCAGTCAAATAAAAACAAGTTAGTTTTTGTACCTGGTGGTTGCAACAAACAGACACCATTGAAGGTAATCAGAAGTGAGGAACAGAAAATGAAATAATTATTTTAATGTTTAGGGCAGCAGGAACTCCGAGAGGCTGCAGGCGCATCAGTGAGTTTGCGGCCTATGTGCGTGGGGGGGGGGGCTGAAACAGAAACTACCGTTGTTAAAAGAAATGTGTTTAACTTTGAAAATGTGGGCGCAATTTTAATTGTCAAAAACTCCAGCGAACCATTAGTTCACTTTGCTCAAATAGAAATAGAGGCCTGCCTCTAATTATGGTCCTCCTTCCAATAAAGGCCTGGAGCTTGAGTAAAATACAGGCCCGGGCCTGTATTAGAGGATTTACGGCAGGGGTGGGCAATTATGTTTTCCATGGGGCCACATGAGAAACAGAAAATATTGTGGAGGGCCAGGCCAAAAGGCTGAAGTCAATTATGCATAATATTAATGGTATTTCTTTATAAAAAGCAGTGAATACCATTGTTTTTTCAAGCTGGTAAGAGTAGACTATATGTTATAAATGAGCAAAAAGGAAAAAGTGAGGTTGGCTTACAAAAATGTGATTTATGTTTATGTTTATGTGCTTAGCAGAAGCTTTTACCCAAAGCGACTTACAATTTTTTTTTTAAACATTTGTGACTTATATTAGTTAACAGTTTCAGTCACATTCACTCCAAAACACATTATGAGTTTCAAATATTGTTGGAAAGAGGTTCTTAGCATTCGACAGACACACAGTATTGTCTGTAAAATAAAATCACTGAACTGTGATCTTGAGAAAGAGGTTTCAAAAAAAGTGTCCCAGTTCACTGCTAGTTGCCTACATTTGTGGTCCAAACACCTTATTTTGTGTTTTAAGCGATTTTTTTCTTATTCAGTGAGAGAAATCTAGTCTCTGCTGGGCTTTAACGAGTGCATCAAAGTCAGGTTGAATGTCTGAGGTGGAGATGCGAAGCACAGCTGACAAATGATCATCAGTGAGAGAGGATCTTTACCTGGATTTTGTAAACCTCATCATTGAAAATGTTTGTTCACAAATGTAGGTAGAGCCGAAGAGAACCAACATCTTCTGAGCACGTCTCCTCAGGTTTGGAAAGTTCTCCTCCTTAAGAGAAGAGTAGAAATCCAGCAGAGATCCTGACTTAAAGTGCTCTGCCAGTACTGCATCAGACTGCAGGTCAATGAGTTCCAGCAGCACATCACTGGGTGCATTATCCACACTGCAGGTAAAGGGAGAGGAAATCATGTGCATTTCATCCTTGATTGTTCTGAGATCTTCAAAACGCCTTGAAAACTCACCATGTAATGCTCCTAACATGGATGAGTACCTGCTGAGGTGATCAGCTGATGGTGTGACTTCATTCAGGGTTTGCGTGTGAGTGAGAGTTGCTCTCCAGTTGACTTGAAAGAAACTGCAGCTTTCTCATGAAGGCCTTCACGAGGCTGTGCATTTCATGAACAAAAAGGCCCTTGCCTTGCAGTCTGGTGTTCAGTTCATTCATCAGTGCAGTCACATCAACAGCAAATGCAAAATCTGCCATCCAATCCTCATCTGAGAGCTCTGGAATGTCTTTGCCTTTCCTCTCGCAAAACTCTCGAATCTCTGCTTTCAACTCCCAAACCCTCTTCAGCACTTTCCCCAGGCTGAACCATCTGACAGCTGTGTGGAGTCCTCCAAAAGAGCCACAAACTGTCTGTGATTCATTGCCCGTGCCCTGATGAAGTTTATTATTTTAGTAACAACATCAGTAACATGGTTGATTTTTAGCACTGACTTGCACAACACATGTTGGTGTATAATACAATGCAAAAACACCTATTTTTGATCTGCATCGATTTCTGTCACCTTATCTTGCATGCGTTTCAAAAGTCCGACATTTTTCCCCGTAAGATTTGGACAACCGTCTGTTGTGACACCTGACAGTCTCTCCCATTTCAATCCCAGAGTGTCCATGCACACATTTACCTCTGTAGAAAGATCACTCCCTGTCGTTGTCCCTTTCATCGACCGCAATGCCGCCAGCTCCTCTGTGAGCTTGAAGTCCGTTACCTCCCGGACAAATACGAGCAGCTGGGCTGTGTCGCGGACATCACAGCTCTTGTCAAGGCCAATGAGAAAAAGTCAAAACTTGCCACTTCACGTTGCAGCTGAAGCTCCAGGTTCCCCGCAATGTCCTCGATCCTCCTGGTCACGGTTCGCCTGGACAGCGGGATTTGCTCAAATGCGCCTTTTTTTCAGGGCATATTAGTGCGGCAGAGTCCACCATGCACTCTTTGACAAACTCTCCCTCCGAAAACAGCTTGCTGTTTTTAGCTATTTTGTGGGATATCACAAAGCTGCTCCTGGTTGCTGCATCCCTGGATGTGTGAAGCTTAGTAAAACAGCCTTGCTGCTTTTGCAACTTTGCTAGCCACGCTTCAGATGTCCGTGCTCTCTCAGCATCAGACAAGTTCTTGTATTTTTCCGAGTGTTTCTTGTCGTAATGCCGACTCAAACTGTAGTCCTTAAACACGGCAATCTCCTCCCCGCAAACCAAACACACGGCTTTACCTCCGACTTCAGTAAAAAAAAATTATTAGCAGTCCAATTTTTGTTGAAAATTCTGCGTGCAGCATCTATCTTTCTTTTTTTTTGCATGAGCAGACGTTTCTGGGGGCTACAATCACCATGTCAACCGCAGGCACTTGTTGCTATACGTATTGCGTCATTGTGTACTTAAAAAAACAACTTCAAAATAAAAGCAATGCAGCCTTAGTCCGTGCATGAGGTAAAATGAGAAACTACATTTATTTTGTAATTTCCAGTTAACCTTACGCGGGCCGGTCAAAGTCAACCAAAGGGCCGTATGTGGCCCGCGGGCCGTAAAATGCCCAGGTTTGATTTACGGTATTATTATATTGCAGAACAAACCAGCACAAACGTAGCACAAATGTTTGACACCAATTTTATTAGATTTGAAGAAGGTGGGTGGCCAACTTCACTTACATGTCTGAAGGACTCTGCACAGGGTTTTCTTTGGAAGTAGGAATAGGAATAAAGTTATAGAGGTCAGCAGGTTAAAGATCAGCTTAAATTAATTTCACTATTAGAACAAAGGATGCTTTTTTGGTGTGAGATCACCAAAGATCAGCGCCGGCGCTCCGCACATGCACACCACGCACAGCGCGTAGGGCACCACACCAGGGAAGGGGCACCAAACACAAGCTTATGAAAAAATAATATATATATGATAAAGACAGATTTCAATTAGAAGATGTGCAAAGCAAGTTAACAGCATGTTTACAGAGAGAAAACAATACAAAAAGGAAACGAGATGGACCGTGTCCAGTTTTCACTCTGTCCAGGGCGTCCGGACTGGGGGTTCTTGTATTCATGAAAATGCCCGGCTTTTCATCCAGGAGCAGGGATCGAATTATGGGGGAGCTGTATATCCTACACATCCAGGGGAGCCAGAAAAAAGTTTTCTACCTATATGACATAATTTATGGACTCTTTTGAGCAGAGAGCACAGACAGCTGCACAGCGCTGATCGTTGGAGAGCAGGATCCAGGCTGCTGCGTCCAGCGCACGGTCCATTCTCAAAGTGGCACAACCAAAAAACTATAATTAGCACACAATCGTTCATGTCCGCACATGTTCTCTACTTTCTGTCTTATTTGTGCCTGAAGCGCT